TAAAATAACAATTTCATAAAGAATGGGAACGTATCTACCGTGTTATAGCAGGGTCGACTGTACATTTAAATCCTAATACCGAAATATCGCATTCCAATCAATTTTACTTGCATATTCTGGAATTAATTCTGGGGATAATGTTTGATATGTAGAAATAAGTTTTCAGTTAACTTTGTAATTATGTTCTGTTATAAAATTTTCAGATTTTGGTGTTATGATATTGTTTTCCAATTCAGAATCTTTTACTTATCTTATGAAACGTTCTGATAACTTTTGAAATATTGAAATCAAATTCTAGCTAATTTCACCCGTAAATTCTCTTATTAGATCTTTTGCTTAATTCTATCGTTTTGAAAACGTATCCCAAACATCGTCTCTCTTTATTCTACATTTCATTTATAAAGGAAAAATATCATACAAAATATAAAAATACAATACAATATAAAAAATACAATCGTAATATTTTACAATTAATTAGTTCATCATGCTCATTATCTCGATCATCAGAAGAAAGAAATTCTCTTGAAGTTTCAACCACGATTATATCTCTTACATTGAAGCAAACAGTTTCATTTATGACTCAGCGTGATCGTCTCCTTTCTGTTTATTTTTTTTTAGAAAAAATACGAATCTATCATTAATATATAAAATGCTATATTCCACAAAATCAGTTGTAAAAAATCGTACTAATGAATACATCAGATTTTAACATATATGTTGCATTATGTGTAGAAGTACTATAAAAAACATTCAAATTCAAATAAAAAAATATATTGTTAAAGAGTCTCATAACTGTTAGCCAAACACAAATCCTCTTAAGATGAATAAAACATTATTTGGAGTTGAAGCAAATAAACCATTGTAAATGTTTTTAATTATATTTATTGGATTTTTAACAAGTTTTAAATAGTTTACGACATATTTTGTAACTGAGTCAGTACCTATAATTGGATTTTTAAATTAGCAATACTTTTGTTATTAGAATCATAAAAATCGTTTTTCAACAAAAAAGCTGGATGTACTGTACATACAGATTGTTTTGAGTACTAAAAAGCATATAGTTTTCTGCCTTATCATCTTCACTATGTCTATCTATATAAAATTTAGTAGCAGCCTCAAAGTTAGGTTTGTGACAAGTTTAATATCATTTTATTTTTTGCGTCAAACACATACCCCTGTGCAGTTAAAGCATTATTATCTAAATATCTCTTATTCACAGTATTCTTGCCTTATGTGGAATCATCAATACAGTAGAACCTCGATTATCTGCCCTAATTGGGGACTGGGGTTGGTCGGATAATTGAAAAGTCGGATAACCGAAAAGTATGAAAAAATCCATTATTAGTGTAGTATATTATTATATCCCATGTAATTAGTATATTGGTATTATATATCGCTATTAACCTATTTCGCATTGAAGTTTCCTCCACGTTAAGCCTATCAAATTTTTTTTANTTATTATTGATTGCAAGATTTAAAATTGTCGTAGAAAGTAAAATCAAAATTTATATTATGCTTTTATTTTCAATACGAATTTATTAAATATAAAATTCGGTGTTTTTAATTCAATCAAGATTTTTTTTCGAAGTACGGAAAGTTCCTTTTAGAATATTGATTTTGAATATTGGTTGAACTTATATACAGAATCAATTCTTATAAACATGTTTAAATATGTATAAAGTTTTATTATAATGCCAGATATATCTTTTTGAGATTCTAAGTAATCGACATTGATTTATGGCTAGGCAATGCAGAGTAAATTTACAAAGAAAATAACGTGACTTCACGAATAAAAGAAAACAATAGAAAATGGACGAAAAATAAAGAAATAAAATCCAAAAATATATCTATAGAGCGAATATAATAGAATTAAATAAATGGGAGTCTCTACCTCAGCTATTATTCAATATATCAAGCCCAATAATAAAAAAGCGCATAAAATAGCATTGAGTACAGATAAATAAAAGACAATGCGAATATGATAAATTAGAATTAATGAGCTATATAACGTATTTACTCCAATCTATATTATTCTTCTAGTTATATTTGCTGAAAGAATGGAACTTTCAATGCGTTTTTTAAACGTTATTGTATATGTTATGTCCAAAGCCCGAAATTGGCAAAAGCAGGAAGTGACCAGCCAAATCGGAAAATGACTAATTTCGCTGTAAATTAACTGGCTAATGTTTGATCGTTTTTTTGATTTTGGGACTTAGCCGGCCAGTTTGTGAAATGGCATGAGGCGATCGGTAAAGTCAGAAGAAAAAGTAATAGTCGTTTGTAAGTTATCATCAACTTCTCTGGGCAGATTTGAGGTTCTCAGCCCCACTTTTGTTTTTCAGCCAAACATGGCCTCATATGGCGACTGGTGAATGTCTTGGTTAAAAGAACGGTTTTTCATGAATTGAATAAATCGGAGACCGTCATGTCAGCCGAATGTGTTAATTTATTTGTCCGCATCCATGTCATCATTATATTCTGAACATCTTGGTTGTCACGTTCATTATATTCTGAACATCTTGGTTGTCACGTTTGGCGAGGCATAGCCAAAGCCAAGGTTGAACCTTGGCTTTGGCTATGCCTCGGTTTTCCGTGTACCAGTTTCAGTTTAAGCCATATGTTCTTTAGTTCATTTATAACTTGGTTCTCAAATTTTCTCCCATTATCTGATTGAAGCACACTTAGAACACCTATAGTGGTAAAGATATCAAGTAGCTAGTAAGCATCTGCTCTTTTTCTTTTCAGAGGTTGCAATAATATAAACTTGGTTAAATGATTCTGATATCTGAGTAGAAACTTGTACTTGCATCAGGGTTGCTTTGCGGTCTATAAGATCCACCTGGCATCTTGAGTTAAATTCTTTAATTAAATATAAAAGGTTTAGAAATTAGGCCTTTCTTGGGATGTGACAATTTGGTCTGACGTGGCTTGCATAAGCGCAGGTACAATGTAATGACTTCTTTAGTGACATTTTTGAACTTTGTACCTCTTTTTCCATCCGTGTGTGATCCTATGTCCAATTTTCAAGTGCGTATCGTGCAATATATCGAATAATTCTGTATGCACATAGTACAAAATATCGATATTATGTGCTGTTATTCGAACAATAAGTTTTTATTTGCCATCAACTTCAGTAATATATTTTCTTAGTCGACGATAGTCAGCACTTTTTTTTCTGCTTCGCTTTTGCCTGTTTAACGTCCTCCATAAAAGCACCGTATTTGTCTCTGATGAGGATCCTGCAATTATTTGCTTTTACTTGCAGCAACATATTCAAAAGTATTCGAGAACCTGATTTTCATATAAAATGTTGGTTACGCATTACACGTAGTCCAACTTCACCCAGTATATTCGTCCCATCATAAATAGCCATGGGACAATCTATGGATTAACAATTATGAATATTTGAATTGTAATACTGTTGCATGGTACACAGCCCCAGTAAATTCTGTTCTGTAATTTAGTACGTTCCTTTAAAGGAAAACTTGTTGTAGCAAACAATCCTTTATTAACCTCAGCATAATTACTGTATGCTCCTTCCAGCAATGTGTCATCACATGTATCCCACAATACGCCCCATGAGTTAACCTTTGAACTGAATATAGAATACTATAGAAATACGAGGAATACAGTACACACAATGAAACCGTTATGTCAGAATAATGAGAACAAGTCACATGCAGGACCTTCTCCGAAAAGCAGCAGATATACGGAATATTATCATCATAACGTGGCACCTTCCTTGCTACCACGGGCATGCCACCATCACATCGGAAGCGAAAAAAGCGCCGCTTAACGGAGAGTCTTGCATCAGCACATCAAATTTTGGCCCGGTATTTCCCGCCACTTCGCGAAATGGCTAGCTAAAGTAGCATATATACTTGGTCATTTCAAGTACATTGGTCACTCCTCTCGGCCAAAGTGTAAAATGGCCAGCCAATTCGAAAACTGGCCAAACTTCGGATTTTGGCCTTAACATATATATAATATGTTTCGCTAAGTACTTATTTTTTAAAAGATTAAGAAATTTGTTATACATTTAGAAGGTAAACAGTATATCAAAATTTTCTCAAAAGACATTACTATAACAAGTATCGTGTAATGCTTCTGTAAAATGATAAAATTTAAATTTATGTACTATCTGCATTTTCTCTTTATTTATTATCATTATTTACTTAGATGATAATACATTTCTTTCAATAAACTGCGCGAAATTAGACAACGCAATGTGACAGGACGTCAACTATTTTCTACCTTTTGTGATCCTTTAGTTTCTCTTATAAATAAATAAATTTTATTATTTACGTTTTATAAATTTAATTAATTACGTATTATAATTTGAAATGAATTTTCTTATAAGCTTTTCATTAGTAAATAAACATAATATCAATATAAAATTGATTATTATTATTTCAACTGTGAAGAAAGATCCCGAAAGGACTTGTCCCTTATGTTCTTCTTTTGCATATTTTCTGGATTAAAGAATTTCTGTCTGGTTTTAAGTGTTTTCTGATGAAACCCGTAGACTGTCTTTTTCTTGACCAAGTCAAATAATTTCCGATCTTAATATTTTCATCACCGGCTTCCTCTACGACTGCCGTTCTTTCTGTAGCACTCAGCAGAAGTTCTATTTCCTTCTCGGGTTTTATATTTATTAGTTATTTCGATGAATCTTCGGTTTTGGAACCGCTAGCGACATGGCTTTCTGTTATTGTCTCAACTGGAGAGCAAAAATCCCAATATTTCTCTCCTTGCACTGTGGTGTTGGCTGAATTAGGTGTCCTATGTTGGCAATCCGGCGCATTTGAAAACAAAGGATTTCACATGATCTCTAATGGAGACGTAGGGAAGAGTCCTTGTTTTCAAATTGCCTAAAAAATTTTTAATAGTTATTATTTTAGAAAATATTTGTATTTTTCTAATTACCCCAATATTCTTCTTAACTCTTAAAATAAATCTTTATATCGACATAATATTACATCGAACAGAATATTCAAAATATGGAATCTTTAACTATGAAAAACAGTGCAAAAAATTTTACTATTAGAGCTGCAGCAACTCCAGTAAGTATAAATCAATTTAATAGTCAACATTCATATAAACTAAAATTCAGATACGAAAAATTGATTTTTTTCTAAATATTTTAGATTCCAACACTTGTGGAATTGAGAGAAGAAGGAAATAAAATCGTGTTTTCAGGACATGGTGCTATCGCAAAGTTACTTCTTACAATTCAAGAAGTTCTTGGATTCAGGTTTTAAATTGCTAACTTTTAATAAACATTATAAAATAATTTTTCAGTTGTAAAGATTTTCAGTTGTCATTTAATTATTCAAACTTATAAAAACAAATTAAAATGTTTTATAAGTGACGTCAGCAAATTGTAAGTGGTGTTATTGGCCTTATTGTCAAAAGAAAACAAAACCTAATGCTGAATCATATGCAGTATTTTTTTAAAATCCAAAATCGATTTGAGTTTTGAAGGTTTTGCTTACAATAGACAGAAACATCAAACAGTTGAAATTGTCCTTGGTTTCGAAATTATTTGTTTCTGCAATTATCGCTAATTCCCACAAAGTTTCATTTTTAGATATGGTAAAGCTCAGCAAAAACATAATTACAGTAAGGTCTCGTTTTATGCGGTGGATACGTTCTACAGAAAAGCGCATATAAAAAAATTCGCATAAAAAAAGACTTTACTTGCCTTGAAAAAGTAAGGATACGTTCCGTAATTTTCCAAAATCGCATAAAAATAATCCGCATAAAAAGAGACCTTACTGTACTAAAATATTTTAGTCTTTCGTATCAGTTCCTGTTTTCAGCTATAGGAGTATTATGGTAGTAAAATAATATGGATTCTTGCTCACTGTTGTGCAATGAGCAAAAATTAGTAAAAACAGTAACGAAATTAGCATGAATTTAAAGTAAAAATTGCATCAATTTCATGATTTTATTTGAGTCTGTCATTCTCCAACTTAAACATTTTTGTAAAGACATGATAATCTTTAAGATGATACAAAGGAGACGATGATATAGAAAATTTTCTAAATAAAAAAGACGATTTATTTATTTTTTTAAATACAGTTATTATAAAATACACATTTATAAATTGAACACCCAGTATTCAATGTTTTTTTCTTTACACATTTAAGTATTTGTAGATTTAGATGTACTGATAGTATTTCAAGTATATCTATATTCTCTTTTTTTCGTTATTCGTCTTTATATACAAATGTTCTATCATATAATATAAATTTTCAATATAATTTTTAACTTAATCATTACTTACCCACAAATTTTTCTCATATTCAGCTTTTGTAATTTAAGCCACGAACTTTTCTTTTACATTCATAAATTATAATTTCTTCTTTACGATCTAACCTTTTATTTAGTTCGAAAATATAAATTGATTCTTCAATCGGCAAATTTAAATGACACCAACAAATAATCGATGTATTAAGAAAAAATGAAACCTGTGAATTTGAGGATCAATGTAATATCTTCCATTTATTTATTATAAATTCTTGATTGTATTTTTATAACTTTTTTTCAATAAATCTAAAAAATCTATTGAAGAATTTTCTATTTAAAATAAAAATAAAATTCATTAATGTGATGTAATGTTTTACAATAAAATCTTCAGATAATTGTTGATATTTCACTACTACTTCCCAGTCTAATATATTTAATCTATCTAAGACTTCAATTAATTCTTCCGATACCGTTTGATATCGTATAACTGAATTTAAAATTAATTTTTGAACATTATCCTAATAAAGTACAATCGACCCCCCTGTAACACGGGTTCCTATAGTTTGGATTCCTATATCACGGCGAAAAAATTGCGACAGTATTCACACACGCTAAAAAAACTCCTATAATTCGGTAAAACGTCATCACCGACTCGTGTCGCGACAGCATTGGTCGAATCTAGACCAATAGCAGATATTGCACAAACTGTTGAGTTTAAACGAGCAGCGAACCTACTAAAAACCATTTATTATTTAACGTCCATAAAAATTATATTTATATTAATAATGTCTCCAAAGTTCAGCGAAATTTTCGCAAAAAATAATTTATCAGGAAGCACACGAATCCCAAACAAGAAGCACGTATCCCAAACATCGTCTCTCTTTATTCTACATTTCATTTATAAAGGAAAAATATCATACAAAATATAAAAATACAATACAATATAAAAAAATACAATCGTAATATTTTACAATTACAATTCGATGACAAGCTTCACGACGAAAACAAGCTTAAGCAATGGCGCCGTTGAACGGTGCACACTCTGTAAGTAATCCTACAATTTTTTGTTTATAGCATAGTTTATATGGATTATTTCCAAAAAATTATACGTATTTTGGAAATGTTGAGTCGAATTAGTCTAGAATCGATTAATTTTATGGAAGAAATCTTTCAAACAGCCGTAGTCCGTAAACTGCATACGTGCCCGGCTGTGATTGACAAGGTCTCCTAAAATAACAATTTCATAAAGAATGGGAACGTATCTACCGTGTTATAGCAGGGTCGACTGTACATTTAAATCCTAATACCGAAATATCGCATTCCAATCAATTTTACTTGCATATTCTGGAATTAATTCTGGGGATAATGTTTGATATGTAGAAATAAGTTTTCAGTTAACTTTGTAATTATGTTCTGTTATAAAATTTTCAGATTTTGGTGTTATGATATTGTTTTCCAATTCAGAATCTTTTACTTATCTTATGAAACGTTCTGATAACTTTTGAAATATTGAAATCAAATTCTAGCTAATTTCACCCGTAAATTCTCTTATTAGATCTTTTGCTTAATTCTATCGTTTTGAAAACGTATCCCAAACATCGTCTTTCTTTATTCTACATTTCATTTATAAAGGAAAAATATCATACAAAATATAAAAATACAATACAATATAAAAAAATACAATCGTAATATTTTACAATTACAATTCGATGACAAGCTTCACGACGAAAACAAGCTTAAGCAATGGCGCCGTTGAACGGTGCACACTCTGTAAGTAATCCTACAATTTTTTGTTTATAGCATAGTTTATATGGATTATTTCCAAAAAAATATACGTATTTTTGAAATGTTGAGGCGAATTAGTCTAGAATAGATTAATTTTATGGAAGAAAACCTTTCAAACAGCTGTAGTTCGTAAACTTCACACGTGTCGGGCTGTGATTGGCAAGGACTCGTAAGAAATCGATTCATAAAGAACGGAACGTATTTACCGTGTTATAGGGGGGTCGACTGTAATGTGACCAGAGCTTTAGCATTACGCGTTACTCGAACGAAACTTGCTTTTTTACCTTGTCCTTCCGGTTAGCCATTTCTTTGAAAAACTTTTTTCTGTCGGTTTATTCAGAATATGGGCTTTGTTAATCAATCTTTACGTATAGATTTTTTACATGTTAACACAATTGTAAAGCGTTATTTATAATTTGTAATTTTAATTATATTTGAGGATATATATTTGTCAATTCTATTAATATTTTTGTCATTTGTATTTTAATTTATTGTTATAGGCATTATTTATCAAAAGAATAAATCAATTGTCTTGAAAGAATTCTAGTTGTATGTGTTAAAGTAATAAATAATTAGTGGGAAATTAGCAAAACATTAGAGAAGTTAGAAAAATCGCTGTCGCTGTTATATATTACATTATATATGAATGGCCGATTTTTCGAAGTGTTTCATGTTGTGTTTGTCAGTCTTAACTTCATTCTTATAAGTTTTATTTATATAGTTGCATGCCTATTCCAAAATAATGAAACCTTGGCCAATCTTCAAGGAAAAATAAACAGTTAAGGGCTCTGAGAATCAGTTTTCAAGACACGCTAGGTTTAGTTCCCTGAGAGAACGGCAAGCCGTTCTTTATGCCACTGAGTGTGCTCATGAGCATGAGTCGACATTTAACTCCAATAGACTATGAAACAGGCTGTCAGAGATTCAGAGAGTAATACTTTTTGTGAGGACTGACTAAACTCTCAAAAGAAATCATAAGCCACTATTCGGGTTTCGTGTTGTGTTCATGGTTACTTACCCCTAAATATATTGATATGTTTTCTTTAGTGGTCATCACCAGTAACCACTTAATGATAACTTAAGCCCGAATAACTTTTCGTATTTCGCAGTTTCATTATTGTAAATATTCGAGTCCATGCATAGACATTTTTGTTACTAAGACTATTGTTTTTATTATTCTCTTCCAACCCAACCTGATAATCTCTCATACCTGCAAAAGCCTGTGCAACGCTGGACACACGCTGCTGTTTGGGANGCGTTGAATTTTCATCGATGTTAAGCCTAACAAAAATTTTTTAAAATAATAATCGTCGCTATTGTATCGTTAAAAATTAGAAAATTAAGCTTCGTTTAAATACTGGCTCCCTTTCATGGTCGAATGAGTGTTGCCAGCTAAAACACGTAAAAATAATATTAAAGTAGCCAAGACATAGCCAAATATTGTAGCGCCACATCACTAGCGGACATTTGAAATTTGCCGACTAGGACGGTCGGTTAACCGAGGGGTCGGTTGATCGGGGGGCGGATAATCGAGGTTCTACTGTATTACCAATTCTTTTGTTTATTGCACATATTGTTGTTATTTTAAAAATAATGTTGTAAAATCTTTCATTAAGTAATTTAATCAATTGAACTTCAGATCATCACAACGATATTCTGTAGTAAAACTTCAGTTTGTAAAATCGATATTCTCGTGCAACACATCTTTTGAGAACCTATAAAATAATGAAATATTAATTTAACTATTTCAAATTTTTGAAAATCACATTTCCTGACTTTATAATATTATATTTTAATTGAATTTAAAAATTATAGTTTTGAAGTAAATATCGTTAAGAGTTATGGAATGCTTCTGGAAAATGGGTCTTGGACAGGAAAAATTGGAGCTGTCTACAATAATGCAAGTATTAAAACAGTGACATAATGTTTAAAATATGCTGATATAAGTGAAAGTTTATAACATAAAGATGGTATTAAAATTTTAAATTCATCGAATATTCATATTTAATTAAGATATTTGACTGTTTAGAAAGCTATATTTACTTATAGTACATTATTTATTAATTTTTAGGAATCGGATGTATCTTTGCCTCATATTATGAGTTACCAACATTCAAAACTAATTGACTTCACTATACCTTATTGGACTGCAGATATTATATTCTGTTTAAGAAAGGGAAAACAAAACTCAAAACTGTATGCTATTACATATCCTTTTGAGATAGAGGTAAGTCATGAATATATTAAATTTATATTTTGAATTATAAAAATTGAATATATTATTAAAGAATATGCTCATTTCTACTTTAAATAAATATATACATAATTTCTTTGAATAAAATAAATTTTAAAAAACTCAGCAAGAACTTGCATAACTCTTCAGACGAAAAACATCGATATATTATTAGCACAAAAGGAAATTTGTTTCTGGCACCATCTGGTGTGAGATTTTGTTAAAGAAATAACTTTTATATTATTATAAAATGACAAATTAGTTAATTTTGAGGATAGAGATTAGTTATGTAAAAATTTGTAAATGTTAATAAGAAATAAAATCATCAAGTCCATCTTCATTTAAAATATGGCGCACAGATTTTTATCTATCTCCTGACTCCCTCGACCTTTTAACGTATAAAATTTAATAGCACCAATGCCCCCTATATACAATATACTATGCCATTGGCCTCTTTGTGCTGTCTGAGCGGTAAAGGGCCTAAAACAACAAAGAAAAAAAATATATATACTATGCCAAATTTCATATTATAATTATTACTCCATTCTGAGATATTAAAGAAAATACATGAACACACCTACACACGCAGAAAACGCACATACAATACATAAACATATATTCATAATGTACATATCTACAGAATTTCCACCTTTCTTCTTTTTGTGTTCAGGAGATTTCAAAACGTGGATATTTGTGAATAATCGACTGGGTCAAATATGACTGGAAAATATAATTAAATTTCCGCGGCACGAATTTACAGTGAATTTATGAAAAATCACTTGATTTTACAGTTGCATTTGCAAACATTGTATCGCCATATTACGCGCCTTTTTTTCAGTATTTTTTAAGAATTAAATAAAACAGTATTTTTTTCTTTTTATGGGTTTTAGCAAATCCAAAAAGCCTTGGAGTCGAAGGGGGGGATTTGCTAAAACCCATAAAAAGAAAAAAGAGAGAAAAAAGAAATAAGACCAGTCGTCGACAAAGCATGCGCCCCTACAATAAAACAGTATTGTTGTTTCTTAAAATAGCAGCAAGTTACAACAATATATTATTAAAATAAATAATTTTCATTTACGCAAAAAAACCAAACTACATAAATTCTTTATTTGCATTCAAAAGTAGCATGACAATTGCCTTCAGAAACCTTCCCGTTATATTTAAATTAAAATAATTTGAAGTAAATGAGGGCAACCTTATATAAATTAAAAATATATCTAAGGTTGCCCTCATTTACTTCAATTTATCTTGGATAGGTAA